TGTTTAGTTTTCCACTGAAATAAATGGGATTTATGATCAAGCAGAAGTGTCAGAACAACGGGTCAGTAGCAGTAGCAGTGGGTGGAGTGGAATAAAACAGATATTCCAGTCTCTAAATACATTTTAAAAGGTTTTAATTCTAGGGCTGTTATAATCAAAATTTGAATGGTTGCAATTACCAAATCGCAAAGACTGCCATTACTTAAAGGTGCACAGTGTAACTTTTCTTGTAGAGGGTCAGAACACTTGCTTGCATTAATGCAGATGTTGTATTTTCCTGGAATGCTCCCCAGTATGGCATTTAATTTAACTATCTCCATGGAGACAAGCAGGCCACATCACCCAGCCAAGTTAAAGATCAGATCTGTGACGAAGTGGGCCCGCTCACTTTATTAGTGAATGTTTTTGTGGTAGTTTTGATAAATAAAAACACCTGTAATTGAATAAATACAGAATATATTTGCTTAATGCCATATTGTGGAACATTCCAGGCAAAGCAAGAAAATCACCAGGGAGATGAGCAGATGGCAGACCCTCCACCAGAAAAGTTACACAGTGCATCTTTAAATAATATAATGTCCTACTCAAACTATAACATATCCTGTCTCAGTAATGTATAAATACTGCTAACCCTGTAGGTCTACAGTGAGTACATAAACTGCACATCTAATCAGAATCACAACAGAGGTCATAACAATCGCGGTAACATATTTCAATCATAGTACTATTGATTTGAATGTATCACTCTCTTAATGTATGGAGAGTCTGCATCGATCCAGTCTTCAATGCCTCTGGGCACCTGTCAGTTTTAGTTTGATGGTTGTAAACCGAGCACCTTAAGAGAAACCCTCCCAGACATGAGGAAAACATGCAAACCTGTTATTTTTGACACATCTCACTGAATAGAATTGTGTTTTAAAAAGGATTCTTACTATCTCTATGTTTACAAATCCAACAGAAAGTGCCAAAAAGCCCAAAAATGCTGCAGTAATAGCTACACACGTATTTGAAAGATTACGCAAGATGCTTTCTTTTACTTTGAATTCACTCTTACTGCAGCCTTTTGAATTATTACTTTTATTCAAGAATTGTTCATCTTAGAAACAGCCATTAGGCTATTTTTTTCAATATTGAGAAATGTTTTTGAAACTACAAGTAATTCATAATCCAATTAGTACAATCTGGCTACTTTTATAAGTGGTTTTACAATGAAAGAAACATTTGATGAAGTATAATGAAGATGTATTATGTAATCGTATTTGACGCCGTAATAAATTTGTTCTGAAAAATCGCTTGACTCAACTTGATAAATATCACTTTGACTACTTCTTGATGAACTGCCCAACCTCACTCTATGTAAATGTGTACGTTAGGATTCACTCACTGGATTACGTAACATAGCCCATATACCCACATCCACCACATAACATAAGGTTCCAGTTTCTGTGAGTTTCTGCTGATTAAATTTCAGGTTACTATTGAGGCTGGAACAAAAAGTGACATTATGAACCCGCCCAGTTTTTATGTAATCTTGCAGAGTTGCTGTAATTTGAGAAAAAGCTACTCGCTGAAAAGTGCGCAAGAAGGGGAGACCAGTATGTTTCATGATACAGGGAGTGTGTTCAGAAAACACAGCTGAATGGTGTTGAAATTGACTCTGGGATGTCAAGAGATTTCAGTTAATTGCAAAAAAATCATAATTGTCAGAATAGATAGCTTCTTATGGCATATTAACTACTTGAGAAAGTTCATAAAAGTTAATAAATCTTGGACAGAGAAGCCATAGTGAATACATGGGTAGACCAATGCCTTTATAAGATCTTAAAGGTACACTATGTAACTTTTATGGTAGAGGGCCCACCAGTTGCTTGTCTCCATGGAGATGTTATTGCTTTGTCTGCCATGTTCTAAAGTATGACATTAAATTTATCAATCTCCATAGAGACAAGCAGGAGACACATCTTAACCAATTTACAGGTGAGATCTGTGAAGAGGTGACTCCACTCACGTAAGAATAAAGGTATTTTTGAGCAATAAAAAGACAGAATAAATGCATCTTGTATAAGTGTAATACCACTGTGCAACATTCCAGGAAAATAAATGGCATTTCCATGGTGGCAGACCCCCAACCTGAAAAATTACTCAGTGCACCTTTAAAGCCACAGGAAGAGCAATGCATTTACAATCACACAGCATGCTCTATTTCATTCTGTGTGCTGGTGATAACCCCATGTGTTGGTTTATCTGGGCCACTCTAGTACACAGTGTACGAGATGAGGTGAGCCCGAGTTTTACAGTGCTTTTCAAATTGTTGTCAGCTTACATAGGGGTAACTGTTGGCCCGACACTTTTACAAGAAGAGAAATGAGCTAAGCCATGTGTCAAGTCAACTCAAGTCCAACTGCACTTTCTGATTGATTTGTTTTTCCTCTGAGTCCAAGTCATATGTGAACTCATGGTGTTATTTTGACAGTTTATGGGTGGGCGATATATTGAACTGAATATACACTATTTCTATATTTTTGGGGAGTGCCACTGCTCCAATATCAATGATATGAAACATGTCATGCATTAGTTGAGGTTTGAGTATAGTAGATAAATGTGAAATTAAGGTTAAATTACCCACAAAACTGCAAAAGTATCACTAATTTGAGCTTTACACCATATTTTTTTTAATTTTCAAGGTTTAAGTATAATAGATAAATGTGAAATTATGGTTAATTTACCCACAAAACTACAAAAATAGCACTAATTTGAGCTTTACAACATAATTTCTTTCCTATTATTTAATTTTCAATAATCAATTTTTGCTGGATATTTTATTATAAATGATATACTAGATTTTCAAATTTTGCACATCTGTATTTCTATCATTTTCCCTCCTGTAGTTGCTTCCTCAGTTATGTGATGTTTATGCCTTTCAGAAGAGTTAAATGATGAATGACTGATTTCATAATATTACCTTGAATTAATTTTTATTTGAGAAATTCACTGATTTAAATTTGACTAGAGATTTGTGCTGTGTTTTTCGTCAAAGTCAGTTATCAGTGTGTTTGTTACAAGTTTGTTATCTTCCGTGTAAGAATCTGACATGTTTCGTTTAGAAAAAAATGTGCAGTGGATATCTTCCAAATAGCTAATCTATACTAGCTTTATCAACAATAGATCTTTTTGCAGTGCAGCGTTCGGTTATGTGGACTTTACATACAGCTGTTGAGTCTGTTTCTCATTTGTTCTCACTTCTTATGTAACACATGGACAATGGCTGCCTACATGCTTGGTCCTACGCAGCACTGATGTCTCAGAGGAGGAGGGGACCTTGGTATTTTGCTTATAATTGCAGTGAATCTTGAAGAACTAAACCAGAACCCAACCAAAACTAAACTACAGGAGTAAACCTTGGTCTCAACAGGACTAAAGTGATTTGAGGGACTGTGGGGAGGGTTAGAAGAGAAGTGCCTAGTACCAGAGTGAAAGGGCATGTGGCTCTTAATTGTCTCTATCACATTAAACTCAAAGGACACGGCTCCTCTTGACCCTAGTGTACAGACGGAGTAACTGCATTAATGTATCATAGGATTAGGCTAATAAAATAGTGGCCAGTTGTTTGGTTGGGGCTAATCAGTGCATTGAGTTTGATTGACTGGTTGGTTGCTTTAAATTAACTGCTTTACTGCTTTGCGTGGTTGAAACAGATAGTTGCTTTTATGACAAGAGTGGTACAGTAGTTGGCTTTAGGTCCCCAAACCACATTTTACACAAAACAAAACAAAATCCTTTCCCATTCTTCTTTTTAAGGGTTCAAGGCAAAAAATTACTCTTGAGAGCTCTAAGCCATGTTAGAAAACATACCCGGAGTTGTCTGTCTACTAGCCTGATTCATCAGCCGGTTTCACTTTATAGAAACTGTCTGACCTCGTAGCATTAGAATTCATTCACTCAATGGTAGGCAGGTACTTTTTTTTCATTTAGCCAAACGCTGCTATTTCGTCGTGTATGTAATGCGGCGCTAACGAGGTTAACTGGTATATTAAGCTTTTCCCAAATCACATAGGAAGAAGGGCAACAATGTCTTTCCCTTGATAAAATTCACCAAATATTGTCTTTGTTCCGTCTTTAAATCCTCGATCTCGGGAATTATTGCCAACACAGAATGTATGGCTCTTCGCTGATTGGCTGGTGCCCGAACTCGCACTGCCAGAGTTTTTGCGAACCTTCTAGTGTATTCTGATTCGTGACCTAGTTGCTGGAGAGAAATGAAATTAAGTGGAGGCACTAGGTGGCACCAGCCTGGCTATCTGTCTACATCTCTAGAGCTCAAAATGCTCTGTTCCACCTTGTGATGTCATTAATTGGTAGTTTTCAAGTTAACAGCTTTCTTTTACCTTTAGTTCAGTAGAGACTGGCAATTCCAGGGTTGAAATTAACCAAATTATTCTAGTGAAGGTTTTAAAAACACAGTGGAATGACATCACAAAGTAGAACAGTGTTTTCAGTTTGAGAAGAGAACTCAGCCTAAATATACAAGATTTGTGTGAATGAAACTAAACCAAACAACATTCTAACGTAGATCAGAAATTGCGTAACATGGGCCCTTAAAATGAACTGTACTGTTTAATGTGGTTGAAACGGATAGTTGCGTTTATGACAAGAACCACATTTTCCACAAAGAAATCCACACCAAAAATGGACCTCTCTCTCTCTTTTCCCCTGTCTTTTTTCATTCATTTTTTTTTCCTTTTTTTAATCTAATCTAACTCTCCAATGGCCCAAGTGAAAATAGGTCAACTCTCAAATGCCACATAAACGCCACGTTAGTGAATCTTCCCTCCACCTGCTACGTAAACACCTGTACGTTTGTTTGCGTGCTTTTTTTCGGATTCTCCGGTTTGAGACCTGAGGGAAGCGGATGCACCTCCCACGCGCTCACATTGGCCGATCCTGTTCCCAAAAGCACGTGCGTAAACTCCTCCTCTGGTGACTTCTCCGGGACAGTTTCCTCCTCCTGATCATATGCGCCGCATGCGTCAGACGTGCTGGATTATTGTTTTTAAATCAGCTCTTTTATGGACTAGTATTTAAGTATTTATCAACATTTAATCAGCATTTAGACCCATGTTTTAAACTAATCTTAACTATTTTGTACCGTGACTCGTTTTGGCAACATCTGTTCGCGTTTGGACCATTTTGCGTAATCGTTTTTAAATCACGGAACTGATTTTAATTAGCAGCGATCTAAGTCTTTTATCGCTTTTAAAATGAACACGAGGCGAGTCATCGTAGAAGAGGAGTAAAAGTTTCCACCTTTCACCTGCAACGCTCTGCCTCGCTCCGTCGGCGGCATGACCCTGGGTTCCGTGTCCGCGTCGGAGAGCTCCTCGGCGGTGAGCTTCTGCGCCTGCTGCGGGGCGAAGATGCTGCCCTACTTCAGCGAGGACGCGGTGGTCAACAAGAACCAGATCAATCAGCTGTAAGTGGGAGAACTGTCTATCTGTGGTTCGCTTCGTTAAAAACACTGAGCTTTGACTTTGATTAACTACTATGCTAACTACTTACTAACTACTACTACTATGAGAGCGAGTAACTCCATTCAAACTTTAACTATAGCCTACTTTTTGGACGCTTCTTGCAACATTACTGTATTATAGTTATATAACGTTGATTTAAAGGAAGTTGATTGTTAGTTTTTGCTCTTATAAGCTTAAAGATACACTGAGTACATTTTCTACTTGTCTCAATGGAGAAGTTAGTGCTTTATGTTGCACAATATGGCATCAAACTCACCTATGTGTTCAATTATCCTAAAAAAATTCATCTACTCGTCTTGGGGGGAGAAAGCTAATCCTTAATGCCAAACTGGAACATTTCGGGAAAAGCAAGAACATCTCTGTATAACAGGTGGCAGACCTCCCACCTGACCACCTGCACCTTTTGTAACAGAATGTTAAAATTATAGGGGTTTTGAGCTATTCTCGGATGAACTGGCAACTGGATGAACTATAGCTCGTTGGAGGTAGGCTAAATGCCAGTTTATGTCACCAAATTGTGAATGTTTGTTGTGCTAACATTGCCTTTTCTAATTCTACCCACTGTTGTTTTAAGAAGCCCTTTTTGTGAATGAGTAGTGAATTACTTTTTCCATTCACGCGCACGCACACAGTAGCTATTTATTTTATTTGGCCGATGAATTGTGTCATCCAAACTCTTGTGGGAACGTATTCTTGAGTAAGAATTTGTAACATCTGTATTTCCGGTGACGTACACGGTTTTGGCGCCGCATAGTGTCCTTCCTTAGACCTAATGCCCCTGTATCAAGTGTGATTCACCTGCTTCGACAGGCGCAGACACCTCCAACCTTGAAGAGCATGTTGTAAAAGATTTTATTAGGAAATATTTACACTGTTTGTCTTGCGATGTGATGCGCTTTGTCTGGATGTGTAACTAGTTGAATTTGACCATATTATAACTAACTATGATAAGCCTATTACTGCAACTATTGGAGGGTTGCCTCCTTTTCTCCTTGTAAACTAACTTTTTTTGTTTGTTTTGCCTGGATCGTTCCACAGTACGGCATTAAACCTTTCCATTTTGTGTTTAGTCAATTACAGATGTTTTTGTGCTAAAATTACCTTGCGCTGGGTCACCTCTCCACTACCTAACTTGGCTTGTCTCTATGGAGATAGTTATGTTTTATGCCATACTGAGGAAAATTCCAGTCAAAGCAGTAATAGCCATGGAAACTAACAGGTTACATAATGCACACTTTGATGGAAAAAATGTCTCTAAATGAAAAATAACAGGAGTATAGCATTAACAAAGGCTTGTACGTAGACCACTGAACTATGGGGTTGTCATATTGGTTGTTTACTGTACTGTTTTGTTTTTGCTGTTACCAACTGAAAGTTTATGGAGCTTTATTCAAATAAACTGGCCGCTGATGTTGGTGTACACATTCAAATGAGTTTCTGTTATTGTTGATAAGAGCACATCAGCAAAGACACTGATCTTTTGCCAGGTCTTGAGCAAAGTGCACGTGATGTCAAAATCATAAACGATATCAAAAGGTTTTACTCTAATGATGTCGAGCAATATTTCTTTCTGTAAGTTGTAAATTGTTGCAATAAATTCAGCAAAATCAGGGTTAATCCACAAAATTGCATTAACTCTTACTCAATTTGTGCTCAGTACCTAGTTGTGCCCTTTTGTCTTTGTGCTCCGGAACACATTATTGCAAAGTGGAGTTGAGGTTTTAAATTGACTGCACCCTGTCTTTGAGGAAATGCTCTTTTTTTTATTGCAAGTTTGCACAAGTTTATTACAACATGTTACCGTAAAACTGGCAAGAACCCATTGTGCGGTAAAAGCCTTCTCATGATAGCATTATTGGTGGATCATTAATCACTCTAGTTTTATTTATTTAACAGAAATGAACAGAGGAACCACCTCATCAAACAGAGCCCCAAGTCATAACTGTTTTACTTTTCTTGGTAGTAGAGAACTTGCAAAGTAAGTTGTAAGAGGGCACAATGTGTAGTATCTTGTTATATCATACTAAACATGAATTCACAGATTACTTGATTTTAATATTAAGGAATAGTGAAAGAATACCTATTCCAATATCACGATGAAAATTAAAAAAACAGGAATGCTTTTTTGTTGCCATGTGGAGTTCTGTGTGTAATCTAGCAGTTGTCCAGGTAGGTTCCATAGTGGTCCATGTAGTCTATGTGCTCTTACACTTCTTATGATACAGCTCAAGATCATTCTAAAGCTATTAAGGAAAGGTTCATTTCTAGGGATGTAACACTAACTGAAATATTGTGATATCGTAATATCATATCATCAAAATTCTCACAATAATATCGTGGACCATCACAATATATTGAATTACAAGTCTCTTTGCTTAAATGAATAGTTATGGTGCAGCAATAGCTAAAAAAGACATAGGGAACTACACAGACCATGATCCTTTGTTCTATTTCAGTGTAGACTACAAGAAGAAATAACAGATCTAAACACTTTTAAGTCTTAATTCTTTGGATTAAGTCTTGTCAAGGCATTTTAAGAGGAAAAAGTAGCATATCGTACTGTGAGATTTGTATCGTGAAAATATCATACCGACAGATTTGGATATTGTTACAGCCCTAATCGTGAGCTTCCCTACCATATCATGAGCTTTCCCATGATATCGCAATAAATATCGTACCGTGAAGTTCATACTGTGACAATATCGTATCGTGAGATTTTCATATCGTTACACCCCTAATCATTTCGGTTCTTTAGTATCGATACATGCTCATGTATCTATATTCAGTACTAGTTTTAGTATTGATTAGGATCTGATTTTCAATACTGATACTGATAAATGTGCACTTTTTAAAGCTACTATTTAAAAATCTGCTGAAAAGTTATATAGTCCATTTTTTAACTTTAATATAAATTGTCAGCTTTCCTATATTTGAACATTTTGTATTTTCAGCATTTTCATTTTCTACCAGCAAGTCTATGAGTCAAGTCTGATGTGATTGGATTATTTGAATTAATTAGAAATTGTACAACTATTCTCATTTTATACAGTTCAAAATGTTCTGATATTCTGACCGTGAATGTGGACTTATCCCCCATCACGTGAACTTTGACCTCTCGTCCTGTGTGCGTGCCTTAGAAGGGGTCACGCATTTGAGTGGAGCCCAAACAGCACCAACTTCAGTCAACCACATACCACACTCTGCTATTCTGAGGGGACAAGGACCAACCAGGACTTCTGCCTTAATTTGGGCAATTCACAAAGTTGAACTGGTATTTGGTAAAGAAGGTTGAGCTGGGTTTGTGGTTCTCAGTCTCTGGTACAGGTATCTGTAGTGGTGTATATATATGCTAGGGCTGTAGTAATTGTAGTCACATGATTATTACTATTGTACATAAGATTTTTGACCAAATAATGGTTGAAATATGGTGACTGAAGGCTGTAAAGTAAGTGTATTTTAGAGCTGTTACTTTATTAGTGTAGTCATTTGGGTTGTGGAGTAAATCAGTTCAGGTCCAGTCATTTGAAATCATCAATTATTAGATTTCTTCAGACTTTCTTAAATTATCAAGAGGTCTGCAACCAATATTCTGTCAGTAAAATCAATTAATAAGAGGGAAAAAACAGTTCTAATCATGCTTTTGACCCAATTCAAATGAGGTATTCTTCTTAAATTCAGCATCTCTGCCCCACTGACCAATACACAGACATATTTCCACATATCATTTTTTGTTATGCCCCCGTTAGACCTACTTAAACCTACTTTAGCCCTAGTAGCCCTTTGCCCTCATTGCACTGACACTTCGAAAGCCAATTTCAAAACTACAGACCAGTGAACTAGGTCAAAAGTATCCCACATTCACTACAGTTCAAGCCAGTGGTGCAGTTTAAATGTCTTGTGATTCAGACCAAAACTATGTGGCACCAACCGAGTTGTGATTCTAGACACGCAGAGTAAACCACTGACCTATATCTGCCTGCTGTGCCATTGAGCAAGGCACTTGAGCACTTGAGTCTGTCACATTTCAGCCTTATCAGACAGCACAACAGAAGGACTGGCTGGAAAATTATTAGGAAAGTTTTAGATGCTATTTAGTAACAGGTAGTACTTAGATCCACCCAATGCCCCTACAGGCTTGTAATTACATTTTGAAACACTAGTTAAATATTAGAAGTCTCAGTCTGTAATCTACAATGTACACAAATATTACAGGATTACGGAAAAGCCTATTGAGCTGTGACCTAGACATTTGTCATAATTCAAAGAAAAAAAAGTATCATAAATTGTATATATGTTTATTTATTGGAATTTAAATGACAGCAATGAGATGATATATTTGCAATTCATGTGAAATTACTTTTAAAAAACACATGGTTTTAGAAACATCTCTTTGTTTTTTTATTTGACAGATTACACTGCAGCTTTTTAAGCATAATTGAATATGAGGACCACAGACAGATGGTCAGTCCATCAATTCAGTACAGTAGGGTCATTCAGGACTCATGACTATTATCTATTACAAAATGCTCTACCTTTTTAATATGGCTTGAAACATTAATTTTAGGGTTATATCACTATCCAATGTGATGTCATTGAATTTATAGTGGTAGAATTACTTAAATTTGCAATAAAAAGATCTGCTCATTATCATTTGGGTCAACAAATATTGCTCTGAGGGCTGCATTTGGCCCGCAGACCATAGTTTGCACATTTGTGTTTTAAGTTTTCCACAACTAGTTTTGCAGCTATTGGTTGTTTACTTAAACTTGATGAAGGCATACATGATATTCAAATTCTGCATATTCTGGATAAAATATTATACCTTCCACTATTTAGAATCCAACCCAATACTTATAAAAAATGTATTTGTTGTAGTCATAGTTCCAGTCCAATATTGAACTAAACTAGTTGTTAGTAGTTCAGTTGACCATAGCTGTATAAT